CAACTTAGCAAGACCCTATCTCAAAATAAAAAATACTAGAGATGTAGCTCAGTGGTAGTTTGCCCATATGTTTAATCCCCAGTACTGGTGGGGGGCTGCGTGTGAGAGGAGCCAAATTTATAGATGTAAAGAATACAACAGTGGTTGTCAGAGGCTGGAGGTGGAGAAAATGGGGAATGGTTCAACAGGTAAAAATTTCAGTTTTGCTGGGCAGATGAATTCTAGAGGTCTGTCGTGTGACTCAGCGCCTGTAATTACCAATACTGTATTGTGTGTTTCAAAATTGGTTAAAAGAATACGTCGCATGTTATGTCCATAATCACAATCCAAAGGGATACAAGGAAACTTTGGGATAGGTTGGATACATCCATTGCTGTGATTGGGGTAACATTATCATGCCTGGTTTGCCTATGTCCAAAGTCATCATATTGTGCATATTAATTATGTACAATTCTTTATATATCAAGTATATGGCAATAAAGCTATTTTTTTTAAAGAGAGAGAGAGAGAATGTTAATATTTATTTTTTAGTTTTCGGCGGACACAACATCTTTGTATGTGGTGCTGAGGATCGAACCCGGGCCGCACGCATGACAGGCGAGCACGATACCGCTTGAGCCACATCCCCAGCCCAATAAAGCTATTTTTAAAAAGAGTACATGCCTGGCACAGTGGCAAATGTCTATAAATCCCAGCAACTCTGGAGGCTGTAGGCAGAAGGATCAAAATTGAGGCCAGACTCAGCAATTTGGTGAGACCCTGTCTCACAATAAAATCAAGGTGAGTGAGGATATGAATTTGATGATAAAGACCATGACGAAAAGAAAGCAGGGAGACAGGGAGAACATGACTAGGTTTGTTGAGGGCAGGCCTCATGAAGCGATGGTATGAGAGTTAAGACCTAAATGTCCAGATTACATCAGAGCACCAGGCAGGGTCCATTGTTACAAAGAACAAGATCCCATTCTGGTTAACACAGGTAGAAAAGAAATTGCACTGGAAGGGTATCAGGTAGTTCAGAGAATGGGCTAGAGGCCTGGAAAATCAAGCGAGCCCACAGGTGGTTGCTAAGGGAGGCTGGCAGCCAGAACCTCCATTAAAGTCACTGGTAGCAGCGCCTGGTTAGAACCCAGCCACCACTGCTCTGGACACTGGGCCTGATTATCTGCCCCAGATTACAGGTTTAATTTCTACTAGGCAGTCTTTCGATCTCTACAAGGTAGTCAGTTAGAAATGATGACAGTCCTCATCTCAGAGTGAAAACCAGTCTTTTTAATATCCTATGAGACCCCACCCCATTCCCCCCTGTCCCTGTCCCTTCTGCTCTCATCTGTCATCTTCCCTTGTCCTGTCCTGCTCTGGTCACACTGGCCAAGCCCTCCTCTTGCCTCCAGAGGTCCTGGGAATTCTCTCCACCTGGAACACACTTCTCCAGGTATTCCCACAGCTCTTTCTCCTCTTCCAAGTCTCAGCTCATAAGTCTCTGGAGGCCCACCTGACCTCCCTACTTCAGCACAATCTCCCCTCTCAACCTGATTCCTTTATACTCATCTTTTTTTTTCTTTTTGCTTTCTCATATATCATTATTCTTTTGCCGCTTATGGATTATCTCAATGAATGAGTGGATAGAAACGTCACATACTGTGGTCCTGGAATCCTGGTTTTGTCATTGACCAGCTATGTGATTTGCACACATATTTTAAGCACTCTGAGCCTCAGTTTCCCCATCAGGAACTTGGGCCACCGCCTCAAATGGATTATTGGTGAAGAGTAAAAGAGACAGAATGCTAAGTTCGTTACTTTCCCCCCTCATTCCGCCAAATCTGTTAAAATGAGAATCTCCTAAGTCAATATGATCGCAATACAACGTTCCATTTACTTTGGATTATATGTCATTATAAATATTAACAAATAAGACTTAAAAAGGACACCTTTGGGTAGGTCAGACGAAAGTACAAAAATTGTGGGCTGCAGTTTGAGGACAGTTTCTGCAGCCGACACGTGGTAGCAAAACGGTGTGAAGCAGTGCACGACAGTCTGCGTCGACGACAGCCAGAGTCCATGCATTGGGAGGTTCATTCGGTTTGAAAATGAACAAAGGGCAGGACATGCAGGGCCCGGGCTCGGCGGGCGGGCGGGCCGGGGAGGTGCAGTTCCTCGCTCTCGCCACTAGAGGTCAGAAGGTTACCGCCTCACGGTTGGAAGACGGGCCCGTCGGGGATTGGCTAGTGGTGGTGGTGGGCGGGGCGGAGACCAGGGCGCGAGGTGGACGCAGCGCTTCGGGAGACCCCCTGGTGAGTGACACCTGACTTAGGGATGATTTTTTTTGGGGGGGGCATTAGATTTCTTATCTTTGTAGGGTTGATGAATTAGGGAAAAGACGCCCGTTCGGGGTCAAAGGCAGAGCCAATTCTGCAGCTTCTCAAAGTGCTTTTTCTTGTGCCTGGGTTTAGAACAGCGCCAGGATCCTGAACAAGGTTCTGTCACTTCCTAGAGCCCTCCTACCTGCGCCCCAGCTTGCACCTGAGCCAGCTGGCCAGAAGTCCTGCCTCCTAGCCTGACTGTTCCTGTGATCAACAACTATCTTTCAGGAGCAGGCCCACTTTTGCATAGCCTGTGGCAGTGGTGGGCCCTGGCTTGGGTGCCAGGAATCCTGGTTTGTTTCAGCTGATTTCCTTCCCCTTGCTGGCCTCAGTTCCCATGTGTCCAATGAGGAAGTCATACCAGGTGGGACTCAAAGCCCCTTCTAGCTCTTCCACCTCTTCTCAAGTTGCTGAGGCTCTAAGCTGAGAAGATACTCAGCTCAACTAGACAAAGGTCCCTTAAAAGTAGGCCATTTCTCACCTTAGGCCCCACAGAGTCTCCTTCCTTGCCCTTTTCCCCTTGATCAGACTCAGAGGCCAAGGGGGCAGGTGAATTCCAGGGCAGGGGTGTGGGCTTTGGTAGATAGAGCCCTAAGTGGCACAGATGGTTTCAAAGCCAATTAGAGGGTGAGGTGGCACCAGATTTTACTGAATCCCCAACATCCCAGGAGAGAAGGACCTCTGGGGAGTCCTGACCCCCCAATCCATCAAAGAGTCTGTGTTTGCCTCCTAGTGTACCTCCTCCCAGCTATGTGGCCTTGGCAAACTACTCAACTTCTCTGCACCTATTTTATCTATAAAATGGTGGTGACCACTCCACCCATCTTATAGGGTTGGGAAATTTCATTAGGACAATGTTTGCTGACCCCTGAGATGGGGAAACCAAGTCTCCTTGAGCAACAAGGGTGGTCAGATACTGTGGGGAGAGGGAGGCTGGAGTTCTGTCTTCCCTGGTGACTGGGAAAGGACTGAGGGGCACTTGGACTTGAATCATCCCTCTGAACCTTGGATGGGTGATGTGCTTTGTGTCTGCAGCACAAGGTCCAGCCCTCCTTCCTGGGAGCCCTGGCAGCTGTGTGGATGAGCAGCAGACAGGGGCAAGCCCTGCGATGGCAGCTGGCGGCCCCTACCACGTGTATTTTGCTCCCTACTTTCCCTGAAATGTGGTGTTCAGAGTTCTGGGTTGGAGTGGGATGAGGGCCACAAGTCCTGGTTCCAGATATGCTAGGGCTGCAAGTCCTTGGGCAGGTTACCTTCCCTCTCTGGGCCTTCGTGACCCGTCATGCACTGATGGGTTGAACACAGTGGGCTTTGCGACTCCTTGGCTTTGCATTTGTTTATCCAGCATTCCTGAAGGCCCCAGGATTGAGATGCTCTTAAACCCCTTCTTGGAGAGTAAGACTGGCACAGTCTCTCAGCTCCTGGAGGACACAGCCAGTCCCATAGGCCTACACAGAGTACCCTTGAAAGGGACATCATTGCTATGGTAGGACCGGGATATCATGAGCAACCATGAGGAGCCCCAATACCCAGCTTGAACCCAGCGGGGAGGGGAGAGGGAAGAGGACAGGAGGAATGTTGCTTCTTTTTATGTGTGAGGGACCTTCTTCTCCTCTGTGGCTAACTGGACCCATGGTGGAAAGAACCAGGGGCATGGTCCATCTTTGAGGTCCCTCAGGAGAAGAGGTCAGGGTGGGAGAGCTGGGTCTGAGGACTGGACACCACTCTGAGCCAAAGCCATGGTGCTTCCGCCACTTCCCACCACCTGCCATAAGCCCAGCTCCTGTCCAACCTACCAAACTCCAGGGTCCACATGGCTGCCTGGTCCCATCACCTTCTACTCCTCTCCCAGCCTTTGCAAATCACTCTCCCTGCCTGGACGGCCCTTAATTTCTGCCTCAAAAGGCCCACTCACCCTTAAAGGCTTTGCTGAGGCACTGCCTCCTCCAGGAAGCCCACCCTGCCCTCCCCGCACTTGTGCACAGGCTGGGCCGGTCTTGGCATTCCTTAACCCTCTGTTGTAATGGTTTGTGTCCAGCTCCCTGACTAGACGGGGGAGCTCCTGGAAGACAGGCCTCACGTCTCACCCCCAGTACCTTACAGACCAGTGGGTGAAGCACCTGCCAATGTGCCCCTGTTCATTCTCGGAGTCTCTGGGACTCTGCTCACGGACTATCTCCACCTGCCCCTTGATGCTGGAGAGGAACGCATGTGGTGGCAATCTCCCTCCTCTGCTCTCTTTGGCTCTGCTTAGAGCGTCCCTCACCTCTGAACTCTCAGCCTGTGCCTTACTGTTGACCTCTGAAGGACCCTCGCCCCTGGGTGGCCCTGTCCCCTTACCCTAGCAGGTGCTGAGGCCCAGGCCTTCTCCCACCGCCAGCCCTCCAGGGCCCCAGGGGGCTGAAAGCAGGCCCAGTCCTCCCTGGTTTCCAGGGTCCATCCTCCCTGCCCCTTGGAGTGGCGAGGTGCTCCCTCTGTGTCCTCCAAGTCGGGGCTGTAGTGGCCGTGTGTCCAAGCAGGCATCCTGGATCTTGCCCAGTGTGGGAGCCACAGCCCTTGGTGGCATGTGAGGAAGCCCAGGGCCAGGCCTGTGTGTGGGGCCCAGGTGGCAGGGGCAGATGGCAGCAGGAGGGGCAGTCAGTCGCTGAGCACTGCCCCCGGGAGTTCGTTGGTGAGCGTGTGCCAGCGCTCGATCCGCTTGTCCTTGTTCTTCAGGCAGTCAAACCAGTGCTTCAGGCGCTCGCCTTTGGCATTGATGCCTAGAACCACACCACCTGCAGGGGGGTCAGAGGGGCGGCCAGGGACTCGGTGATCACCTGACTCCCTGGGGGCCCTTGGGTTCCCTTCCAGATTCTGTGCTCGGAGGGGCAAGGAATGGGAACCAGAAAAGGGAGAGAATGGCACTGTGCACAGTTGTCATAGCCACCAGGAGCCAGGGGCCAAGTGGACTCACAGTCCACCCTCAGCTGCTGACCAGCATTGTCCCAGCTCCCTCAAAGACTGCTCTGTGGCCCTCCCAGGGCTCTTTCCCTCTCTGGGCCCGTTGCCTGTTCTCTGGGGACAGGCTGAATAATATCTGAGGCTCCATACATTGGGGACAAGTGGTCCACAGCCCCAGCTTTATCCAGAGGCCAGTGAGGAGGGGCTGTTGCCTGATTCAGAGCCACTGCCATTGTCCAAACCCAGGATGAGCAATTGACTCAACAACATTCCCATCGCACCCTCTTCTTACCAATGAAATCGTTGGATTTTCCAATGTCATAATCCCAAACGGTGACCTCCAGAGTCTTTTTGGCCAGGTCCCCATGCTTAATCTCATAACAGAACTCCTGCTGGCCAGAAGGGGAGTATCAGGGCCAAGGCCACATGGCCAGGAAGGGTTTGGGATGGGGTAAGGGCATGGAGGAGGGAGCAGGAGGGTTGGGTGTGCCCCCACCTGCCCTTCGGTTCTGAAGCTATTCTCTCCAGATGCCTGCAGGCCCCCTGACCCCACCTCAGTGCACAGAAGGAGCCCTTGTCATCTTTGTCTTTACCCAGGCTGGCCTTTTTGACAAGGCCTGCCTTTGAGGAACATTCTCTGCTGCTAGCTTTTGGGACCTTCCAAATCTGGTATCCCCTCCTCTCTGGAAGCAGCTCCTCAGCCTCTTCTGCCTGCCCTGAATCCCCGGTATGGCTCAGGCTCTGCCTGAGGGCCTCTATGATGCCTCTCACTGGTGGGGGACCCCCTTAGATTTGTCACCAGCTGTACCCACCCCCTGTGCTGAGGACCTAGTTATCCACCTGGTATCCCCGCCCCAACCAAGGTCATAGGGCATCTTGAATCCTCATGCCCCACCCAAAGCTTCTCCCGATCATCTTCATATCCCTCTCCCTGCACCTGTCTCCTAGCTAGGAACCCAGGAGTCCCCTCAAAGCTTCCCTCTTTCCACCCCTACATCCAACATGGCTGCAGTTCCATCAGTTGAATCCTCTGAAGAGGTTTCCAGCAATTCCCCATCTGTGTCACTGCGTCCGGGTACAGCCCGGCCAGCGGGCGCTTCAACCCCCCTCCCACAGCCGGGGCTCCCACCCTCCTTCTCCCGCTACTCTCCGGCTCCTGCCATGGCTCTTTAAGAACCCAGCCCCCTCAGACCCACCCACTCCAGGGGAGGGGTGCCCTTCCTGAGGCTCCAGCAGGCCCTCATACCTCATTGAACTCTGGGTTCAGGGTCTTCTTCTTCACGGCTGTCTTATGTTTGGACTTCTTGTCCACATCTGGCTTCAGGTATCTGGAATTATATCCAAGGGAAGGATAGGAGATGGGGAGGGGCCGTGGGATGCAGATCAAGCCAGCAGGGTTTGGCAGAGCTTTTTGTCCCTGGGGAGGGATCACTGGACCCCTTGGTAGAGCACCCGGGTTCAATTCCAAACACTCATAAATAGACAGATAGGTAGGTAGGTAGATAGATTAAAAAAACCTAGTATTTGCACACCAGCCATGCACACCCTCTCTTTACTCTGTCACTATTGATTCCTTACAATACCTAGTGCCGTGTAAAGAGGTGTTGCACACTGGGCTGGGGATAGAGCTCAGTTGGTAGAGTGCTTGCCTTGCGTGCACAAGGGTCTGGGTTCGATCCCTAACCCCACAAGAAAAAAAAAAATTGCTACACCCTATTGCTTAAGGGAAAGTGCCAGGTAAAGAAGCCCAGGGGGTTGCAGTTTTTCCTTCAAATAGCATTTTCGATCCACGGATGCGGAACCCACGGATATGGAGAGCCAACTACATAAACAGTGCCGCGTCGCATGCACAGTCGTGTGGTTGGCTTTTGGCTCAGCACGTTTTGGGCAGCTGACCGTGTTGATTCATCTAGCGCCGATCTGTTCATTTCAACAGCACGGCACTTCGTTTTGCTCACCGGGAACATTCTATTAATCTATTCTGCTGACAAAGGTTTGGCTATTTCTAGTTTATAGCTATTGCAAATGACTCTGCCACAAACAGCTTTCTACCTGCACGTGGATGTCCAGGACAGAAATCTGGAAGGAAGATAAGGTGGCCAACAGGAACACACATTTTCCAATTGTCTTGGACATTGCCAGCTTTCTCTCCAATGTCATAAAGACAGCCTGCTGGGCTGGGCCGGGTGGCGCATGCTCTTAGCAGCTCAGGAGGCTGAGGCAGGAGGATGGAGAGTTCAAAGCCAGCCTTGGCAATTTAGCGAAGCCCTAAGCAATTTAGCGAGACCCTGTCTTTAAATAAAATATAAAAAGAGCTGGGATGTGGCTCAGTGGTTAGCCCCCCTGGGTTCCATTTTTGATACCAAGAAAGTCTTCTGGTGGTCTTCTAACAATTGCAGTTTCCTCTCACACTGAGGTCTCTAATCCACCTGAATACATTGTTCTGCTATTTTTTTTTTGAGGCCAGGGCCCAATTCGCTGGTTTTCAAGTGGTAGTGCTCAGTACCATTTTCTGGGAGCCTGAGCTTTTTCAACAATGTAGCTGTCCCCTTCTATGTATGAGCTCTGCTCCTAGAGCTGTGGGTGATCCAGTTGCTTAATCCCAGTCAATGCTTTATTGAAATATAATTCACATACTGAAGAATGCACCCTTTAAAAGTCTACAACCAATGGTTCTTAGTATATTCAAGAAATGCACAACCATCACAAGCACTTGTTGAACATTTGCATCACCCCTAAGAGAAGCCCAGTGTCTTCTGCAGTTGCTCCTCATTTTATCCTGACTTCCCTGCCCACGGCCCTGGGCCTCTGCTCTTCTTTGTTTCTTTGTTGGTACTGGGAATTGAACCCAGGGACATTTTACCACTGAGCCACATCCCCAGTCCTTTTTATTTTGAGACAGAGTTTCACTAAGTTGCCGAGGCTGGCCTTGAACTTACAATCCTCCTTCCTCAGCCCCCTGAGTTGCTGGCTGGGGTTACAGGTGTGCCCAGGTTGCTCACCTGCTTTCTGCTTGTTCGTATTTGTCTATTCTGGACTTCCAGGTAAGTGGAATTATGCAGTTTGTCACCTTTTCTGTCTGCCTTCTTCTATTTAGCACAGTGTCGTCAAGTCCTGTCCACATTGAAGGACTGAACAGCACAGGTTGACTATTATTCAGAATGCTTGGAACAGGGTGTTTTGTATTTTGATTGGACTTTGAAATATCTGTATATACATAATGAGATATCTTGAGGATGGGATCCAAGTTTAAACACAAAATTTATTTATATTTCATAGATTCCTTATTATATATGTAGCCTGAAGGTAATTTTATACAATATCTGACTGTATTTGACTGTAATCCACATCATGTGGGCTACTTGTAGTGCCATATTAATACTTAATTAATAAAAATTTCAGATTTTGGCACTTTTTTTTGGATGGAGGTTACTGGGGATTGAATCTGGGTATGCTTAACCACTGAGTTGTATCCTCAAACATTTTTCCTTTTTTAATTTAATTTTTTTTTAGAGAGAGAATTTTAATATTTATTTTTTAGTTTTCGGCGGACACAACATCTTTGTTTGTATGTGGTGCTAAGGATCAAACCCGGGCCGCATGCATGCCAGGCGAACGCGCTACCGCTTGAGCCACATCCCCAGCCCCCCTTTTTCTTTTTTTAATATTTATTTTTTAGGTGTAGATGGACACAACACAATGCCTATATTTATTTATTTTTAATGTGGTGCTGAGGATCGAAACTGGGTCCCGCCCGTGCGAGGCGAGCGCTCTACCGCTGAGCCACAATCCCAGCCCTTCTTTTTTATTTTGAGACAGGGTTTCACTAAATTGCTAAGGGCCTCACTAAGTTGCTGAGCCTGGCCTCGAACTTGCCATCCTCCTGCCTCAGCCTCCCCAGTTTCTGGGATTACAGATGTGTGTCACCACATCTGGCAGATTTTAGATTTCTGATTTTTGGATTAGGGATGTTCAACTTGTACTTTATTACTTTCAGTGTGGAGTAGTATTCCATTGTATGGCTAAAACCACATTTTATTTATCTGTTCATCAGTAGATGGGGACATTTGGGGTACTTCTACTTTTAGCTATTATGAATAATGCCATTATGAATATTCATAGACACGGTTCTGTGTGGCGTGTTTTCCGTGCTCTCTGGTGTAAACCTAGAAGGGAAACTTCTGGGTCATGTGGCAGCTCTGGGCTTAACTTTTGAGGAACTTCCAGCTGCTCTCTAAAAAGGCTGCATGATTTTTGACATGATTTAAAAACTGACAGAAATCTGACAGTGGCCAATGGGCATGGTGTCCCAGGGCTGTGCCAAGAGAAGCGCTGATCTCCCTGTGGGGCCAAGCTGTGCCCATAGCCTCAGTTCCTGGGCCTCCTCAGTGTCCCCTCTTTGCCCCCTGGGCACCCTCACCTCCTTTCAGGACAGTCTGCCTAAGAACTCAGACTACAGTCTCTGTTTGTGAAGAGCCCCAAGCAGCGAAGGTGGTCGCCAACCTGCTCATGACTCTGGGCCCCAGAGTCACAAGAGAGGCCTGACTATGGCATTAGGAGATAACTATTCTCAGTGTGATCCTGGGAAGCCACTCCAGCTTTTCTGGGTCTCAGTTTCTCCACCTGTGAAACGGGCTGGCCACACTCACCTCCCAAGTTGCCAAAGGAGCACACAGGACGACCCGGCCCTGTAGACACATGCAGCAATGCCCACTGTCCTTCCAGGCTCCCCAGGTGCCGCATGCTGGGCCACATCTGGCCACGCGGGCTTCCCATCCCTGGGGCGAGGAGGGGAAGGAGGCCAATGCCGCACACTCACGTTTTCACATAGGGGTCTGAGTAGCCGTTGGCGTCCATGGCAGCCAGGTGTGCGCAGCGCACGATGCCCACCAGCAGGCCCTGCTTCTGTGAGCTGTACTTAAGGGAGATGAGGATGCGGCCTCGCTCCTCCAGGGACTTGTCCTCCGTCTTGTCCACCTGTTGGGCAGGGAAGTCACTGGGCTGTCCTTGCCAGCTCCCACCTCCTGCCACTGAGGCCATCCGGGGCCCCTCACTTCCTCTGTCTGTCCACCTGCAGGGGTGCTGCCCAGTGGTCACAGCCATGTCCTCTCTGGCCTTTCTGCTCATCTCTCCCCTCCCGAAGGGTCTTAGAGAAAAGCCAAAGGGTCTGTCCAGGCCACAGGAAGCTGGCTAGAAAACAAGGGGTCCCCTGACCTTAGAAGACCTGGGCTGCTTCCTGCAGCCTCTCAGGATGCTGGGGGACCTCAGCAGTGCCCGTGCCTGTCTCTGGGGTCAGACCCAACCTTCCTGACTCTCCATCTCATCTGCCCACCCCCACCGGCTTCTCCATTTCTTATCCCCGAGACAAGACTGTGCATTTTTTCCCCTCTGCTGCTCACCAGGAACCGCCTCTCTTCTGCCCTCTGCCCTCTGCCCACCAGCTGAGCCCTACATGCCCCAGAGGCCTTTCTCAGGACTCTGCCCGGCTCCTATCCTGCAGGCCTGGCCTGTGCTCAGAACTGTGCTCTGTAGACAGATGCAGCAGTTCCCACGGGTCCATGGCCAAACCTTCCCAGAACTGAAACTTCTCAACCCAGCGCTCAGGCCATCGGTACCAATGGCTCAGACTGAGGGAGATTTAACTGTCACAGGGACAGAGGGCATTGGTGTGACATGTGAAAATGAATTGGTACCTATGAACAGACATTTTCTGCTATTTTTTTTCAGGCACAGGATATTATATTTGGGTTGTTTCATATGAAGACCAATAGACTGGATCTGATTCCGTATTTACTTAGAACAAAGAATGTATACAGATGGTAAAATCTAAAATGCACCACCAACGTGCGTCTTTACTTAGACAAAGGTTATCCCAACTGCCGAGTGGTGGCCACTGTGTGACCCCAAACTGATCAAAAAAGCTTCTAGAAAATTCAAGCAAGACTCAGCAAGGCCTGGACCAAGCCTGGGGCGCGCGCGCGCACACACACACACACACACACACGTGCTTGTGCATCTATGTGCACACACACAGGCACTTACGAACATCCACACAGACACACGGTTACACACAATTCACACGTGCACACACGTCCACGCCCACACAGTCGCTGATGCGAATGATCAGAACTCGGGAGGGTGCACAGCTGCTGCGGGAGACCACAGAGCCCCACTCAATGATGCAGATCATCTGGAAAAACTGGGTTACCTGTGGTTAGTGACTAATAATAAAATAGAAAAGGTCAGATCCATCACACGAACGTCTGTGAGTGGGAGAGAAGGTGACAAGGGAATAAAACTTGATCAGGTTATGCAAAAAGATGGGACGGGCTTCAGCGGGGAGCTCGGGCTGCAGTTGACTGGTTCCCGGGGCTTGGCTTGGGCTGAGCTCGCTGGGAATCCACATCCTCCCTCCCTTTACTCTAGCACAGGGGCTCTGGGGGGACGCTGAGCCACTCTCTGGTGTCCTGAACACTGGGCCGCAGAGGACCCAGTGTTTCTCTTGGCCCTAGGACACTGGGGACTCCTGCCGACCCCTCCAGCCCTCTGACTGGGGTGCAGAGGAGGCTGGGGGCGGGGGAGCGCGCAGAGAGACAGAGACCAAGACACTTGCAGGGCTCAGCTGCCGGAGGCAGCCGAAGGGCAAAATCTGTTCTGACACTGTTTGCAAACAATTGCAATTTCTAGGAAAAAATTATCTGCTGTCTCCTCTGGGGATCTCACAGACACTTCAAGACTAACACGGTCCAATTGAGCGCCTGAGCCCACATCGCCCCAGCTGCTCCTAGTTAACAGCCACCTCATCTGTCCAGTTGCTCAAGCCCAGAACACCAGCACTGCCCCTGTCCTCGCCTGCCCGAGGGCCCGGCTGCTGGTGCCAGTCTGGAAGCAAGCCTCTCAGCCCACCCCGCCCTGGGCCTGCTCATCTCATGGGTCTCTGGCTCTCACTGTCTCCTCCCAATTCTTCCTGCCATTTTGAGCCCAGGAGGCAGTGAGCCTGATAATATGTCACCAGACGCAAGGCCTGTGCTTCACATCCTCCTGTGTGCCCACGTCCTTCCCAGCTCCCCTGCCATCTCAGCTCCTGGGACTGCCCACTTCCCTTGCTCTCTCTGCTCTACTCATTAGCCTCGCCCGGTGCCTACAACAGACAGGACATAATGCGCATCTCCCAGGCACCTACAACCATGTGGGGTGCATAGTAGGTGCTTAGTAAATCCTCCTGGCCCCGAGCTCCAGCACAGAGGGCGCTGGATGGGTGGGCAGAGCGTGGTAGCTGGGGGGCGCCCGAGGCCCACTCACTGGCAGCTGCTTCTCTAGGCAGATGCTGAACGTCTTGGTGTGGTTGGCTTTCAGCTTCTTCAAGGGCACTCGAGTCTCCCCGATGAACTCGTTGTGGCGGAATTTGTCCTCGTCACACACAGAGATCCTGGAGGCAATGGGCACAGCCAGCACCTCAGACGCACTGTGCACCCCCAGTCTGCTTCCGGGGTCAATGGGGATTTGTCAAGGGTGGGGCTGTGCATGGGCAAGGCGGTCCCCGGGGATGGGGCATCGGGGAGCAGGCACCCCAGGCCCTCACCCACCGCAGGGTCTTGCGGATCATGTCCTCGTCTGTGATCCCGTAGTAAGTGAGGGTCTCGTTCCACGTGGGGTTCAAAGTGTTGCGCAGAGTTTTGGTTCTGAGCTTATTTGCCTGGAGAAAGGGGAAAAAATGATCTTATTAGCACTGAAGGAGTGCCAGAGGCAGAATAATGGCCCCAAAGATGGCCCTGGCCTAATCCCAAGGGACCCTGTGGACATGCTGTCTGACACACAAAAGGTGAACAGAGGTGGCTGACAGAACTGAGACTGTTAATTAGCGGACTTCAAAATAGGGCTGTCTGAGGGTGGTTCGGTGGTAGGACGCTTGCTTAGCATATGCGAAAAAAAGACCCAACCAGGGAGATTATCCTAGGTTATCTGGGTGGTCCCTTGTGATGGGAGGAGGTCCTTAAAAGCAGAAAGAGGCTGGTGTGTGGCACACGCCTAAAATCCCAGCAACAACCTGGGAGGCTGAGGCAGGAGGATTACAAGCTGGAGGCCAGTCTTAGCAATTTAGGGAGATCCTGTCTGAAAAATGAAACTAAAAGGGATGGGATATGAGATGTAGCTCCGTGGGTTCAATTCCCAGTATCACCAAAAAAAAAAAAAAAAAAAAAAAAAAAAAATTCAGAAGAGGGGCCAAGGCAGAGCCTCCGAAGGAGAGGTGACTGAGAATGGACTCAAGAGCCAAGGAACGTGGGTGTGGGTGGCTTCTGGTAGCTGGAAAGGGCTGGGAAGCAGACTTCTCTCTAGGGCTCCAAAAGGAATGCGGCTCTCTGATGCCTTGACTTTTAGCCCATTGAGACCCCTGCCAGGTGTCCAGCCACAGAGTGGTGACATAACAGATGTGTGTTGCTTTGAGCCCCTAAGTTTGTGGCAATCTTCTGTAGCAGGGACAGGAGGCTCAGGTGAGGGGGACTCCACCTTCAGTCCCCTGGTAGGGACTGGTCCTGCGGGAAGGAACCTGGCCGCGGAGCTGGATCGGCTCCTTCTGGCGCATCCCTGAAGCCCCCTCCTCCGTGCCTTTGCTGGGGCTTTCTTTCTGTCTAGAACCCATCCTCTCCCCGGGGGTGGCCTGGCCACTCTGCAATAGTGCCCCCACGCCCTCTGTGCTTCCATCTGCCTGCTGTGGCATCCAGTATGGGAACAGGAGTTCAGGGGTCAAATAAATTGGGTAGGTGCTGCCATTGAGTACCCTTTATGGAGAACTGCAGAGCAGCCCATTAATGTACTAAAGGCTCTGACAAGTCCTACAGTCAAGAAACCTGTTGGAAAATGTTTCACCATGTTATTGGCCAAGGAGTCTTTTCTTGGCATACAATTTTTTTTTTTTAATAGTACTTGGAATTGAACTCGGGGGCACTCGATCACTGAGCCACATCCCCAGCCCTTTTTGTATTTTAGAGACAGGGTCTCACCGAGTTGCTCAGGGCCTCACTAAATTGCTGAGGCTGGCTTTGAACTCTTGATCCTCCTGCCTCAGCCCCCCCCCAGCGCTAGGATTACAGGCGTGCGCCACTGCTCCGGGCTCTTGGCATTTGATATTCATCTCCAGCTGAGGCTTCTTAGAAAACACTGTCCCAGAAATTCTCTGGTGGGGGGTGCTTTCCCCACCGACCAAATATGTAATGCTGACTCTTGAAGTCCCTGGAGAGGCTGGAGGGTGTGGGGCTGACTGGTGCTGAGTGAAGGTCAAGGCTGAGATCCCCTGGGTGTCCCAGCCAGAGCATGCAGGCCTGGGGAGGAACCCCCTTACCTTACTGGCTCCTGGCAGCAGGTGGAGCTTGACGTAGGGGTCCGCCAGACCATTGTGGTCCATGGGTTTCAGGCCCTGAGCAGAGGGAGCAGCAGAGGGAGCAGCAGAGGGTATGACTTGGCCATTGAGGACACAGACCAGCCAGGGCCTCCAGCAGAAATCGCCTGTCCCCTGGTCTGCTGGTCCTCTTCCCAGAAGCCCTCTGACCCCACACCCCGAGACGGGGTGCAGGAGGCTGACTCAGGGCCCATCAGTGCAACCTCCCCACCCTGACCTGGGACGGCTGTCTCGGGCCTCTTTCTCTTTCCATCCTCCCTCTCATGGAGGCCAGGTGACTCCTCTCGCCCTGGTCAAGCCTCATCTTCCCACTTTGATCCGGCCCCTCCCTCTTTTGGACGTTCCTTTCCCCACTTTTCAAACACAGCTCCCCGATACAGACTGCCCTCCCTGACCCTGAACCCACATGGCCCTGTCTACCCGTTTACGCCTCCCTCGGTGGGTGTGGGAGAGTGCTCCAGGGCCTGGGAGACTGGTGAGACCAGACTTAGCTTCTTTCTGGATTTATCGCAGGGACAGCCAGTTGGTGTCCACAGAGGTCCCAGGCTGCCCAGGCATCGAGGGTCCCTCCACAAGATGGCACCCCTCACTAACTTTGCTTTCAGTTCCTTTTGCAAACTAAGTTCCTTTTGCACAGCCTGCGACCAAGGGAACCACAGATGGGGACTTAGCTGACCTCTTGCAGGGGCTTGTTTCTGGAAACTGCATCTTTCCCCCTTCTGGGGTGTCACGTGGGGACGTAGAGAAGCAGCCAAGCCGCTGGGTGGGGGAGAGGCAGCTCACTGCTCATGGTCAGGCCCATGGCCATGGGCAGCCCCAAGCTCCTCTCCCGGGCCCAGACCACTTGGTTTGGAGCGGGGCCCAAGTGGGGGCTCCACACACTGTTTGTCAGCTACTGGGAAAGGGCACAGGTTGGGAGTCGCACAGGCCTGAGTTCAGATCTTGGCCTTTGCAACTTATTAGTTGGGTAAATGGACGAATTCCTTTGTGTCCTCTGCTTTAGGGTCTGTAAAAGGGCTTCATTATTCTGATTTCCAGCTGGGTGCCGTGGGTCTGTCATTCAAGAGATACGGAAGGCTGAGGCAGAACTGCAAGTTCAAAGCCAGCCTCCGCAACTTAGGAGGCCCTAAGTAATGTGGCAAGATCCTGTCTCAAAATAAAAAATAAAGAGGGCTGGGGGTGTGGCTCAGTGGGTAAGCGCCCCTGGGTTCAATTCCCAGTACCACCAAAAAAAAAAAAAAACCAACTTCCTTGAGTCAGAGCAATACAGAAGCAGGCCTGCTCTGGTGTCTGCCTGTTCTCTAACATGCTAGGCCCTGGGAAGATGCCAGAGAAGCCGCTGAAGGCTGGAATGGGGGTCTCTGAGCTGCACCCAGAGTTGCTAGGGTCACAGGTCTGCCCTGCACTGCCCCAACTCTGGGATGGGGCTTTGCTTGGAGGCTCTGTGGGTGCCCATAGCCACCAGGCTCCCTCAAGACCCACTCCTGGCCTCTTTCACTTTCCCACAGAGTGCCCAAAGCCAAGTGTGGCGTTCTTCTGGGGAGTCTGGTGGTCCAGCCTGAGCAGGGCTGCTGCAACCAGGGCATGGCTGAAGGCTTCTGTCACATTTCTACAATTCTTTTGTTTTGGTACCAGGGATCGAACCCGGACGTACTTAACCACTGAGCCACATCTCAGCCCTTATTTTTATTTATTTATTTTGGTACCAGGAAGTGAATTCAGGGGCACTCGACCACTGACCACATCCCCAGCCTTATTTTGTGTTTTATTTAGAGACAGGGTCCCCCTGAGTTGCTTAGCTCCTTGCCATCACTGAGGCTGGCTTTGAACTTGCGATCCTCCTGTCTCAGCCTCCCCAGCTGCTGGGATTATAGGTGTGCGCCACCGCTCCTGGCTCTCCAGCCCTTTCTAGTTTTTATTTTTGAGACAGGGTCTTGCTAAGTTGCATAGGGCCTCACTAAGTTGCTGAGGCTGGCCTGGAACTTTCGATCTTTTTGCCTCAGCCTCCTGAGCCACTGGAATGACAGGCACGTGCCACCTCCTCCGTCCCTATACATTTCTACAATTCTTACACATTTGTTTGTTGTAGCTTAAAATGTCTCCATCGGGTCAAATTTCTCAAATTTTCTCCTGCAGTCACCTGGGCAGGAGCAGGGCTTTCATTAGCCCTCTGTGCATCTTGCTCTCCACGGAGCCTGACCCCTGTCCAGGAAGGGTTTTCAGGTCAGGGAGCAAGAGGGTGGCCTCTTAGGTAGGCCTCCTACCAGCTTACCTACGAAAGACAAAAAGCTGACCCCACAGTCTAAGGGAGGGGCAGGCAGGTGAGGGGCTGAGGGGAGGCCCCGGTGGCTCTTGGCACGGAGAGTCTTGCTTGGAGAAGAGGGTTTCCCCCCAAACCCAGGCCCTGGGCCTCTCAGAGGCTGCCGGCCAGTGTTCAAGGAGAAGAGCTTTCAGGACTTGCAAAGGCTCAAGTATTCCTCAGCCCTAAGAAGGAAGGGACTCCAACATGCATGATGGGCCAAGGGACATCAGGCAGAGTGAAACAGCCACCTCAAAAGGACAAACCCTGCAGGAGTCCACTCCCACGAGGTCTCCTGAGTCAAACTCCTGGGCACAAAGAGTCTGGTGGTGGTGGCAGGGAGAGGGACCAGGGAGCTGTTGAATGGGTAGACTTTTAGTACTGCAAGATGAAAACGTTCTGGAAATGGATGTTGTCGATGTAGCTCCACAATATGAATCACTTAGCACCCCTGACCTGTACACATCAAAAATGGTTATGATGGAAAATTTCATACTTGTATATTTTACCACAGTCAGAAAACAGCAACTGCTGGCGCACACACCCGTAATCCCAGTGACTCGGAGGCTGAGGCAGGAGGATTGTAAGTTCAAGGACAGCCTCAGCAATTTAGTGAGGCCTTAAGCAACTTAGCAAAAACCCTGTCTCTAAATAAAATATAAAACAGGGCTGGGGATGTGGTTCAGTGGTTAAGCATCTCTGGGTTCAATCCTGGGTACCCCCCAAAAAAATAGGAGAAAGAAAAGAACAGAGTCTCCCGAGACTGTGGTTCTGTTGGGGTTTCCCCAGCTCCTCCTGGGACAAGTGCCCTTGTGTCCACGTGTGCTTGGGTGTGCCTGTGAGTGTGCAGGTGGGTGCAGCCTCCAGGAAAGCGTTAGGCCCTGAGCACACATGAGCACTGGGGGCTGCGTTAGCCATTCAGGGGGCAGAAGGGGCCCTACCTTGCAGATGAATAGAGACTCACCTTCACTCAGGGTGGGTGTGGTCAAGTGGGTGCAGCTTCCCCAGAGACCCTGAGAGGCTCCCATTTGGGGAACTCCCACTCTCCACCCCAGAACCCCAGCTCTACCCATGCCTGAACCCCTTTCCTATAGAGCTGGATTTACTCACAGAAAGAACTGGAGAATGGGGGCTACCATGGCTTGGGGGTTTCTGTCCCCAGCCTCTGATGCCTTCAGGAATGTGCCCCCCGTGGACACCTATATGCATACACATCAGTTTCCAACTAGATCTGTGCACCCACAACAGACACACACAGACACGAGCACACACTCACAAAACACACAAAACACACTGGAGCTGGGCAGAGGAGGCAGGGAAGAGCTCTAGTGACGGATGGGAAAGAAAAGGAGTGGGCTCTGGCAAGAGTGGCCTGACAGCTAGTCCCCAAGCCTGGACCATCTCTACGAAGCTGGCGGGGAAGGAGAGGAGAAGGGGTTTGTGTGGCCCTGCAGCCTGGCCTCCACCTTGGCGAGGCTGGAGGGCCACCAGATGCTCAGCTCTCCTCCTACAGGGTAGGTCTGGGCATGCCCTGAGCCGCAGCCTGGGGAGTTGCCACAAGAGGGCAGAGTGAGGGATGGAGCGGTGGCCCCCAGGTGGCCAGGCCCCTGGTCTCCATGTGGACATACTCATGTTCGCCCATGGCAGATCAAGGGTGGTGGCCCAGGCTGGGCTGGGGTATAGCCTAGGGAGGCTGCAGGCAGCCAAGGTCAGTCAGCAGGTGGAGGGGAGGGGCAGAGAGCCCCTGCAGGTTGGGGCTGCAGGGTGTGGGCTCTGGGCCCAGGCTGCTCTGCAGGAAGCCCCTCCCTCTGAGCTGGGCCGGCCCAGGCCCCTCGGCAGCCCTGTTAGGGGGGCTCTGCCGGCCACGTAGGCCCTTACCTTGCGAGAGAACATCAACTTTGGTACCTTCCTCCCAAAAAGGAGCCATGTGGGGGGATGAAGGGAACAGCATGGTTGAGAACCCAGAGTGGCACACACTGGCTCCAGGGCAGAGCCACAGGGAGCACTGGAGGGCCTGGCTGGGGGACCTCTGGGCCCCAGGGTACCTTTTGGGTTCAGGGCCAAAGGTTAACCCCTACCTGGAGTGTCAGCCTGCTTCGGTGGCACCCGCAGCATTCAGAACAGGACAGTGGAGTCCGCCCAGGAAGCCCCAGAGCCGGGAACATGGGGTCCAGGAGACCCAGTGGTATCAGATCCAACCCTCGCGCCCTCCTTTGCTGCAGGACAGGTCTTCCCTACTGACTCCCTTCCTGGACAGTCCTCCCAGTCTGCATGTCCCCTGAAAGCCCCACCAGGGCCTCCATATATCCGTTCTCCTCCCTTTCTCCTGCTTCTTCCCTCAAATGCCCCATGGTGCAGAGTTTTTTTGGGGGAAGTGGGAGCTGAGATGCGTTAAGTAAGAATTTGCTCCCACAGACACCGTGAAGCCTGGACAGTAAGGACGGGGGCAGGGCTGGCCTCCCCAGCCTCGGCCCATTCTCCAGAAGCCGCAGCAGGAGCAGGGACACTGGGGTACCGGAGCCTACCTTGGCCTTGCTGATGGTGCAGTGGAGGGCATTGTTCTCCTGGTCATAGAGCAGGCTGAAGTCCAGCGTGCCCAGCGCGGCTGCAAACAGAGAGACAGGTCACACACTGGCATCTCAGAGAAGTGACGCCCTCTCCTGTACGCAATGAGCCACTTTTTTTTTTTGTACCCACTATTGAACCTCGAGGTGCTTAACCACTGAGCCACATCCCCAGCCCTTTTCATATTTTATTTAGAGACAGGATCCCACCGAGTTGCTTAGGGCATCACTAATTTGCTGAGGCTGGCTTTGAACTGGAGGCAATCCTCCTGCCTCAGCCTCCTGAGCTGCTGGGATTATAGGTGTGCACCACTGCACCGAGCTCTCCTCATGCTCCTTCTGAGGATATCTGAATATTCAGGAGGTATACAGAATGTGGCCATCAACTCCAATTTCACAGAACACCAGTGGTTTACACAAATTAAACCCCCATACCCCTCCCGCACGAGCACTGCTCTATCTACCCCTTACAGATCCTTGCTGCACCGACGCTGTCTTCAGGGCTGCTGTACAAACCGAAAAGCAAAATCATTTTTGTTCCCACAGCTCTCCCCTGCACTGGGGACTGAACTCAGGGACACTCTGCCACTGAGCTATATCCCTAGTCCTTTTTGCTTTTTAATTTTGAGACAGGGCCTTGTTAAGTTGCCCAAGCTGGCCTTGAACTTGCGATCCTTCTGCCCCTGCTTCCTGAGTCACTGAAATCACAGGCATGTGCCACTGTGCCCTGTTTCATTTTCATTTTTAAATGGCTGGAATTAGTTAAAGCAACCAAAGTATTACTTTTATAGCAAAGCTTAGTAAAACGATACGAGGATACCATTAATAACATTTTTAAATTACCCAAATGGCTTCGGTATTGAGATTAAGGAACTACGCGTATTTGCAGCGCACGCTGCTGGTTCCTTAAGGGCACAGACACATGTTCACAATCACAGCGATGAGCGTCGCCATTCCAGTCTACAATGCTTCTGAATAAAGACAGATACACAGAGCTGGGGCTCAGTGCCTACCATACAAGAGGCCCTGGGTCCCATCCCTAAGCACTGGGAAAAAATAACCCTCGAGTTTTACAAAAAGAAAATGGAAAGACTACATTAGCAATAAAACTACTGCTTCCAGCTAACAGGTAAAAGTGGAGAGGCGGGGCTGGGGCTGGGGCTCAGAGGTAGAGCGCTCCCCTAGCATGTGTGAGGCCCTGGGTTCGATCCTTGGCACCACATAAAAATAAAAAAAATAAAGGCCCATTGACAACTAAAAAATATTTTAAAAAAGTGAAAAGGCATACCACTAATTCCCCCCTCCCCAAATAGCCAGGAATGGAGGAGTCCAGTCCCAAGGACCACAGACACCGACTGATCACCAATTATATGCTTCTTCATCCTCCCATCCCACTGAACCCTGGGAAGTGGCAATATTCTTCCCACTTTTCAGATAAGGAGCTGAGGCTCAGAGAGGCCAGGTTCATCCCCTGCCCCTAGATGGTACCCTGAATCACACCCAGGGTGGGGTCAGCCTACAGCCTGCCTCTCTCTAGGGCCGGCCTGTGCCGCACTGGGCTGCCTGGCCCTGGCCCAGTGTGGTGCCCACCTGTGCTAAGCAGCCTGTCTGCCATGCGCAACTGCTGTCCTGGGCTCGGGGCCTCAGTTTCCCTCACTTGTGAAGTGTCATAAGGATTGTGTGACAAGGCAGAGGTGATGGGGCTTTGAGAGCTACAGGCCCTGGGCTGACAGCTGATCCTCTCACTGCAACTAGTGGGACTGTGGAGCTCAGTCTCTCTGGCCCCTTTGAGACCCTGGGTGGGCTGCAAAGGGCCACCTTGGTCCTTAGGCGGCTGCTCCCAAGTCAGTTCCCCAGGGCCAGGCAGAGGTGCAACTGTAACTGGGTGCAGCTGCCACCCTTGGAGCAGTCACTCAGAGCAGTGGTAGCTTTCCAGGCCCAAGAGGTTCTCAGCGGGAAGGCCAGCAGACCTTGGGGGCAGGTCCCAGACAGCAAGATGTACATTCACACGCCCTGATCCTGCTCCCAAGCTGCTGGGCTGATCAAATGTTGCTTGTGTGTGTGTGTGTGTGTGTGTGTGTGTGTGTGTGTGTGTGTAGTGTCGGGGATTGAACCCAGGGCCTGTGCATGCAAGGCAGGCACTCTACCAACTGAGCTATATCCCCTGCCCCTCAACTGGTGTCTTATTCATTCATTCTTTATTAACCCAGTGTTTATAATAAGCTAGACTCTAGGGATCAAGAGAGCTATAAGGCAGGTCCCTGCCCCCAAGGAAAGCACAGGTGGAAAGAACTTGTCAGAACATAGGAAGGAGCCAAGAGGAGGGTCACAGGGCCTCATGGCAAAGTGGGGCCATCAGGGAAGGCTTCCTGGAAGAGGTGATGCTTCATCTGAGCCAGGAAGGATCGTGGGAGTTGAGGAGTGGCACAGAGGGGCTGGGGGAGGGGATACTCCAAACACAGGCCACCTGGCCAGTAGGGGCTTAGTGGCTGCAGTGATGCTCCACGTGTCTTCAGGCTGGGGCTTCCCTAGACTCTCAGCTCTGGTCTGGATGAGCTGCGGCCAATGGCCAATGCCGACCACACCTGTCTGTATAGACTGCCCCAAACCATGGCCTGCAAAGGGAACACGGTTCCAACCTGAGCATGCTTCCAATCTGGGCCCTTGCAGATGAAGTCTGAGGACTTCTAGGCCCTTGCAGGGGCCCAGGGAAGAGGTTTGTTGAATCTGCAGGAAAATGAAGGGCCACATGGGTGGAGCTGCCCTTTCTCCTCTGAGCAGGACACGAGCTGGATTTGCCTTGTTAACCAGGCCCCAGCCACGAGAGGCACACGGCTCACGCCTCTGTCCTTGCCTGCAGCAGTGTGGAGTGCCACCTCTGATGTCAGACTCCACAGGTTCAAATCCTGCCGGGGCACTTCCTTACTGTGTGACCTCTTCCTGCCTCGGTTTCCTCATCTACAGATGGGAGACAGCAACCCTGGCACACAGCGTCTGGGGTACAGCGAGTGCTCAGCAGATAATTACTGCAGGAGCAGATTCATTTAGGTGACTTCTAGATAACTGTGCTTGCCCCTCTGAGACCCGTTCTGGAAGGAACCCGTTCTAAATTGGATCACCGAGTCCCCCGGCACCCCGCCTTTGGGGACAGGATATATGAATGGTCATTTAAGCTTTTCTAAATAACCCAAGTCACTGCTATGATGATGCTTATTCGTCTGTGGGTCATTGTCACCGCCCAGACATGGGGGGGCCATGTGAGGCGATCCCTCTACCTGGTGGTCCCAAGCTTGGTCCTTTGTGAGGTTATCCTTCACTTTTCTGCTTCCTCCTTTTGTATCAACCTGAAACCCTATTAGAGCACTTGCCTCTTGTAACACAAACAGCTCTCTCTCTTTGTCAATAGTTCCCTCCATGAAACCAGCTGATAATACTTGTTAGAACAGTGTCCAGACCAAGAGCCTAACATAAAGAATGTGCTGCCAGGCACAGTGGCACTTGCCTGTAATCCCAGCGGCTTGGAGGCTGAGGCAGGAGGATTGCAAATTCAAAGCCAGCCTCAGTAACTTAGCAAGGCCCTAAGCAACTTGGGTGAGATCCTGTCTCTAAATAAAAAAAATTAAAATGGGCTGAGGATGTGGCTCAGTGGTTAAGTGCCTCTGGGTTCAATCTGTCATAACCTGTCCCCTTTTCCAAAAAAAGAAAATGTGCTTTAGTGATAACTGGATCTGGCCTTCTGCTGCCTGTAGCCTGGCTCTCACCTGTGGGTGAGGTGGACTCACCATCCCTGGAACCACTAACACTAGCTTCAGGCCCAGGACTCACCCAGCCCGTGGTGCTTCTATAGTAACGTTCTCTGACCTGTTGATGGGGCACCATAGCCAATCTGCCATTCAGCTTGGGTCCACCTGTTTCTTTAAGACATGAGTGTCCCCAGGACAGGGACCCTGCCTTGGCCACATCTGTAAGACTGGTCAGAAGCAGGTGCTCAATCCACACCGCAGGTCAGTTCACACCAACTTGCTCTCCTGGGGGGCACTGAAGTGGGGCTGGGTGTGGTGTCACATATAGACACACAGTCCATGATGGCTACCTGCTTCCTGACCCCAGAGAGGGATGAAGGAGAGGGGTGGCCTGCTCCCCATTGGGAACACAGCTCCAGGGGAAGGAAGGAGCCCCTTCCACGGCTCTGTCTAAAGATGCTGTCCTGCCCAAACTGGACACCTATGACCACTTCCTGGGAAAGAACCATATGCCTAATGCATCCCTGGGAGGCAGGGTGGGCTGCTGAGCTTCTTTGAACTCCACTAAAAGGTGTTTTTTGCAGAACTGGGTACTAGTACTAGGGATTGAACCCAGGGGGCCTCTACCACTACATTCCCAGCCCTTTTCATTTTTTTTGAGACAGGATCTTGTAAGTTGTAGAGGCTGACCTTAAATGTGTGATCCTCCTGCCTCAGCCTCTCAAGTTACTGGGATTACAGTATGCACCACCCTGCCAGACTCTACTCAAAGTTCTGTAAGAAATTCTAGTTTATAAGTAGAAGCTCAGTCACAATTCTGGAGTGGGGAGAGCTCTCTTAGGGGGCATATGGTCCAAACTGTTTCTTTTTCATTTGAAGATCTAAGGCTCAGAGAGGGGAAATGGCTTGGCCAGTATTGCCCAGCAGGGCTGCATAATTTCTCTCTCTCTTTTTTTAGTTGTTGACAGACCTTTATTTAATTTATTCATATGTGATGCTGAGAATCAAACCCAGTGCCTCATACATGCCAGGAAAGCATTCCACCACTGAGCCACCACCCCAGCCCCCATAATTTCTATCTTAAAGTCTAGTAGCTTCTGGAAAATTTTTGTTTGCCACTTTGTTTAGCCAACATCTTAGGAAGAGGAAGCAGGGCTGCTGTTGGGCTGGGGGACTCCCAGCTGCCTGTGAAGGGCTTGAGATGCAAACACCCTGGGTGGTGGCAGGGGTGAGGAGGGTCCTGGGGGCAGGAGAAGGTGCTTCTCTGCGAGCCACAGGATCCTGCTGTGTCCTGCCCTTGGGGCCACTCAAATCACATGCCCCGACAAAAGTTTATATCTCTGGAAAAATAATGAGGGTTGGTCACTAATGGGCCTTTGAGATTTGTCACCCGCTTGTCGATAATTATAGAGCTTTAATGGGGCTAATTCAGAGAAAATCAAGCTCAAGCCCCGGTTGGTTCCTCTAAAACTAAACATTACCCGGCTTCTCGGTGAAGACTGACAGCCTCATTAGGACCTTGGTTTGCACCTGAACTTGCCTGACCCATACACCCTTGGGAATAGGAAATCTGTCTTTTTTTTTTTAAGAAAAATGTTAGCCTCTAAAATAATCATGGAAAAAAAAAACTGTCAAAAACCATAGAAAATTAAGGTGCAGTGGTGAATGCGTGTGACTGCAGCTACTTGGGAGGCTGAAGCAGGAGGTTTGCAAGGTCCGGGTCAGCCTAGGTAACTTAATGAGACCCTGTTTCCAAAAAAAAAAAAAAAAAAAAATGGCTGGGGATGTAGCTCAATTGTAAAGTGAACCTGGTTCCAATTCCCTAGTACTGTTAAAAAAAAAGAAAAATTATTAAGGCTAAGTCAAAAGCTTTCCCATTTGGGGAAACTGAGACACTGAGCCAGGCACCACATGCGGGGGGGCGGGAAGGGGGAGAGGAATGAGTTAAACATTCCTGAATCCCAGGTTCTTAGAAGCAAAAGTTTAGGATTTCTATAAATCTTTTTATTCCTTTGCTTTAAATTCTTCAAAGATTCTCTGTCACCTCCCAAACTCAGTTCAGCTTCCCTGGCGAGGCATTCAAGACCCTTTGTGATATGACCACTTTGATCTCATCATGTCTTCTCCCTCTGCCCCAGCCACTTGGCTCTCTTGTTGCACCTCCGCTGGGCTTGCTTCCAAAACTTCGGCACCTGTGCACACAGCTGTTCTTTTTCTTTCTTCCACTCTGCCAGCCTGCTTCCTCCTTCCTCTCAGCCTCAGAGCAGAGCCCTCTCTGTGGGTGCCCTCTGAGCAAGTCAAAGCTTCTTACTTGGGCTCCTGCCTTCCTGTCCCTAGCTGCTGGGCCGCTCATTTGTCTTGGTTTCCGTGAATACCTTGAGGTCAGAGGTCATGTCACAGGCATGACTTAGCATAGTGCCTAAATATGAAGAGGTCTGGGCAGAATGTGGCTGAGGCCAAAAGAGGTCCCCGGATGGCTCAAAGGATGGGGAACCACATCCAGTGGGAAGTGGGATCTGCCCCCAGCCACAGAGAGCCTTTGGGGCTGACTCTTCCAACTTCACCCCTCCTCCAGGCCTCTAGGGGCATCAGACCTGAGCCAGCCCCAGGGTGAATCATATAGAGGCAGGTTTAAACAGGGGCATATGATGTAATTTTAGCCAACGAGACGAAAGGACAGGTCTCCTGGGAACTTCTGTTTTTGTGGTTCGGGGGATAAACCCAGGGCTTCGTGCATGGGAGGCAAGTGCTATACTGATACTTCCCCCTCACACTCCAGGAACTTTTGGGAGAAGTTTCCTCAATCTTAAACTAACAGATGTGGGGAGGAAACTGATCCTTATCAAATCTAGGACCTTGTTGTTGTATGTGATGCCTGGACCCACAGCAGCCATCCTGCTCATCTGATGGGAGACCGACTGCATCATTAGAACCTCACCCATATATCCTTGGGAATAGAAATCTGTCCTGATTTTCAGCCCAAGAGGAAAAGAGCTGGCCAAGTGGAAAAACAGTATTGTTGCTCCTGATGGTGTGGAGGAGCCACTACAGCAGTGCACCCAGGTGCCACAAGACTCTGCTGTTCTCCTTGTTTAAGCCACTTTGAGTTGGTTTTCCATGATTTGCAACCCAAAGCAACTAACTTAAGTCGCCACAGCTTTGAATAACGGAATAGGGTTCTGCCGGTGGAGATGGGATGGGACAGCATCTCAGGCAGGGGCAGCCTGTGCAGCCATGGGAGGGCAGGCAGCCCATCTGGAGGGAGCACACCGGTAATCAGCTTAGGACACCTGGGAGGGAAGCCAGGGGGTGGAGCTTCTCATTCCAGCGCTCTGCCTTTTCTCAATGAGGTCTGCTGGGAGCATGTGGGTTGTGTGTGTGTTCTTTGAGGTGACTAAGGAAGGATGGGCTTACAGAGGGGGACAAAGGCCAAGCCAATAAACAACACTTCTCTCTCAGTTTGGACAACACAGCAACCGCCCTCATTTCTTTTTGTCAGAACAGAGATAATCCAATAATTAGGGCAGCAAATAGCATAACCCTGGCTAAAGCCGTAATGAACCATCTGGCTTGAATCATTTAGGCTTATTCTAGGGATCTGGTTGTCAGAGCTCAAAGGGGGCACTGCCGGGGGGCACTGGGTAGAGGGTGGTCATGCCTCCCTAACGTTTTTCCCCAAGGACAGCAGCCAAGATTTCTGTGCTCCCAGCCACTGATGGGAATTAAGCCAAGGTTGGGCTGCTCTTAAAGGGGGTGAGGCTAAGCCCAGCCACCCTGGATCAGCCACACACCCTTCTCCTTAGCTCTGCTCTCTCTCAGACTTCTTTTGAGCTCTGGTGATATGGGTGTGGTCAACTCCCAGTTCAAGCTGGCTAAATTGTGTCCAGGACTGTTTGTACTGCCCAACCATGTGAGTCTGTCCCTAGCTAGGACACCTGTGTGCTCTGGCCTGGGGACCCAGTCCTCCTCTCCTTTGCTGTACTACCTCTGGCTAGACCAGTGCTGAGTTGATAGACTGAGACCCGGCTGCTGGCCTGGGCTACTTACTTTCTGGCTCCTTTGTCACCTGTGGGTTCAGGGACAGCCTAAAGAAATGACCAAATTTCTCCACTCTTGGCTATATGTCATCCAGAGGGCCCTCTGTGGCAGCAGGAGGGTGGCCTGAAGCTCAAGCAGAAGCCCCGCCCACCTGGCTCACTCCCTTGGCACAGCACCCAAGATACTGGAAATAGGAACAATTTTCCTAGGCTTTAGCTCCAGGGCAGGCAAAGAACTGACTTGGGTCCTGGTTCAGGCCTCTGCAGAGGCCAGTGAGTGAGGAGGTGAGTTTGCACAGGGTTCCAGGGCTGCGGTTGGGCAGATCCAGGGCACAGCCCTGCAGGCAATAAACTCTCCCGACCCAATTTTCCCAAGCCAGCAGGCAAGTGGAGGCAGAGGACTGCTCCCCAGTCCCACTCTTGGGGGCAGGGCCTTAACATGCTGGAGGCCCAGAGGGAGGTGGTCATGGCTTCCATAAAGTGCACCCAAGGTGGTTTCTCTACAGAGTCGGGCTTGGACCCAATGTTGCTGATAGGCCCTCCCCAGGTTCGGGGATATGGGCTCTGCATACCGGTGGCACTCTTAACCCCCACCTTCAGCTTCCAGAGGCACATGTTAAGCTCAGAGAATCTCCAGGCCCCAGTCCAGAGGCCCGTGTGAGCCCTATTCTACCACTGCTGCGCGGGGGAGGGGCTACAGGCCCTGGGGAAGCCCTTGTGGGCCCCCAGCCCTGCAAGGTTCATATCCGCGGAAGGGCGAGGTTTTGAAACCGATTTTCCGGGTCTGAGGGACTTGGCTGGGGCCACAGCTGGGTTGGGGGCCTTTCACGCTGCGTTCCTACCCCACCCCCACCCCCGCGCAAACCTATTGGGCATGGGATCTCGGTATCTTCCCGCCTCGGTTTCCCCAACAGTACAAGATCCCTCCGGGCAGGCACACTCAGGGAGAGCACAAGGCGCCAGGAGCGCCCGCCGGCCGGGCCTCGGCTCCGGGGACCCTGGCGCTTGCTTGCTCCTTGGGGTTCAGTCCCGAGAGGAGCGGGCGCGGGCTGGGGGTCCTTCCTGCCTGGGGGGAAGCAGGTGTAACAGGTGGGCAAAGGTCCGCAGGCCAGGCGAGAGCGGCGGCGGGGACCATGAACGCAGGAGGAGAACCGCCAAGGTTTTTCCAAAGGACAAGCGGCCCCGCGGTCCTCCTGGTCCTCGGCGCGCGCATCAGCAAAGCCGCTGCGCTGTGCGGGCCGCCGGGCCCACCGGGGAAGTCTGGCCGGCCCCAGCCTCGAGCTTCCTCCCCAACCTGCTCCAGCTCGACCCTCGGCTGCCAGGCTGCCGGCAGCTAGCTCGCGGGCAGGGAGCGACCGCGCGGCCAGCAGCAACTGGTGTCTCCCCGGGGCGCAGCTCCGCCCTTCCCGGGAACAAAAGCCGCCTCCCGCACCGGGTCTCCAGGCGGGAGGGCCGAGAGGGGGCGCGGCGCTGGCTCTCGGGAGCTGGGGCCCATAAATGGCACACCCCCGCAGGGCGCCCCCAAACTTCCCACCTCTTGCGTCCAGGTCGGGGGAGGTGCGGGAGCGGGTCTGCAGGGCGCGCGGAGAGCGCACCGAGCAGGCAACGGGGCCGTGGCCAGCCGGGCGGAGGATGTACGCGGAGGCAGAGGGAGAGCGACGAGAAGGGGACCAAGGACACGCGCTAGACCCGCGGGGGTCACGCCAGCTATGGAGAGGGGAGAGGGCGAGAAGTCGGAGAGTTGGAAACTTACTGCAGTCGTCCGACTCGTAGCCGTCGGCGTCCAGCTCATCCTCGGGCGGCTTGGCCGGCGGCCGCGCAGGACTGGGACCCGGGCTGGGGCCGGGGCTAGCGCCATAGGCTCCGAAGAGCTGGTCCACATCCTCGTCGTCGTCGCGGGCGCCGTCGGAGGGGCTGTGGCGGCCCGCGCTAGCCGCGGCCGGACGTGCGGGGGCGTCCGGGGGCGCCTCCGCGCGGGGCCCGGTGGCCGGGGGCAGGCCCCGCGGGAAGCGGGGGAAGTAGTCGGAAATCTGCTTGATGGGTCGGATAGGGCCGGGACACACGTCGATGGCCATATGCTCCTGGATGCTGATGGTCGCCTTCTCCCCGCGCCGCCGGAGGGTCATACAGGCAGCGCCGCCCCGCCCGGGCGCGGCCCGGCCCGGCGCTACCCCGGCCCGGGGGCGGCTCAGCAGGCCCGGCGGGACGCGGCGGGGGCTGCGGGCATCGCCGGGGTGCCCCCGGACGGCCTTGACACGGCTGCTGCCTGCTCCGAGGCGGCCGGCGCGAGTGAGTGCCAGGGGCCGGCAGGCAGGGGGCGGGCCCAGCCCGCGTCACCCGGTAGCAACCAAGCAGTGTGAGTGTGCGGGCTGCGCGGGCGGGCGGGCGCCGAGCGAGGAGCGAGCGGAGCAAGTCGAGCGCCACCACACTCACTCGCACTCACATTGGCGCGCACGCTGGCCCGGGACCCCGCGCGCGCGCACACACACACATACACACACACACGCGCGCGTTTTCCACTCACTCACACTTGCAGGACAAAGCGGAGAGACAGCGGAGCATGGACCTGCAGGATGCACACTCACACATTCCCGCGTATACTAGCACATGCTGGGTACCATTCACTCTCACAGGACACACGCAGGTGTGCAGGGGCACTTCAAGCACACACAAACGTATACAGAGGTACTTAGTGGAAGTTTCCACCCACTCACGGCTGCAGACACACTAAACATGCACATATACAGAGTCGGGGAGGTTGCTGGGGCACAGTACTACTCCCCAGCAACCCCCCAAACTCCAAGAGAACACACACAGTGCTGATATCCAGGGTCCAGTTTTCCAAGCTACCTAACAGGCAGGACACATACACACACCCATAGAAGTCATCAGAGGACAGGAGCCTGGCGTCCTAAAATCTGTACCTCATTTAGCAGGACACACAGCCACACTTCTAGGAGTGAAGGGACAGGCTGTGTATACACTAACTGGACATGTACACTCTCAGTTGTCCAGAGCACTTCTGGCACAATCTAGGCACACTTCCTTCAGGTCACAAACATGCACACTCTGTAACCTCAAGTCAGATCTCTTTTGGTCAGTGAGTAGTTTGAAGGACCCAGGAGGACAGGCTTGGTCAATGAGAGGGTGAGGACAGGCAGGGTCTGGCAGAGGATGCCCTCCCAGAACATGACCAATGAAGCAGAGGTAGAAAGGCAGGGTGTTACCTGCCCACCCACTCAGGCCACCCACAGGGTCAGATAACTAAATAAATCCCTGACAGCCCAAGTCCTGCTGCTGCCTAGCTTTCTGAAAACAAAGCTCTCTTGGGAACAGGCTGCTGCTGATACAGGTGTGTCCCCAGAAAGCCCTGGCATGGATGGAATCCTGTTTACTCTCTGGTTTCCATTGACGTGTCAAGAGAAGCCTTATCTTCTTGGCTGGGTCTCTCCCTTGAATCTGAATGAGGGGCCCCAAGCCTGTGTCATTCCCCATCACAGACCCTGAGGAGGATGGGGAACAGAGAAGAGAAAGGAGAGACCTTTCCCCTTGTTGCCTCCAGCTACACCATTAAGGCAGGTTGTTCGAGCCCTCTGAATCTCAATTTCCTCATCTTTGAAGTGGGACCAATTCTATCCTCACAGAATTGGGATGAGCCCTCATGTAGCACTGAACATATCAGGTAAGAGTTACTCTGAGTTAGATGGTGGTGGTCGCTACCCACCTTTGAAAATCGTGTCATACTGTGCCAAGAATGTCCGGGGCTGTCATGTTATTGATCCCTTTTATGACCTCATTCTGTAGGCAGAGTGTGCTGTTAAGGCAATTAAGGCTCACAAGGTGCAGTGGTGCACCTGTAATCCCAGTTATCCAGGAGGTGGAGCCCACAGGATCACAAATTTGAGACCAACCTGGGCGATTTAGGAAGACCTGTCTCAGAATAGAAAAATAAAGGGCTGGGGGTGTGCAGCTCTGTAGCAGAATGCTCCTGGGATCAATGCCCAGCACTAAAAATATAAATAAGTAAGTAAAATGGAAAAAAAAGGGTGGGATGGGATTCAGGCACAGGGACTTGACTGGGATGACTATTGGCTGGTGGCGGAGCTGGGATTAGAATTCAACTGTCTTCAATGGCTTTGTTCCCATGCTCCCTTCTACCACTCCCCCTAGAGGGGGATTCAGACAGAGCTGGGTACACAGGTTAAAACCTTGTTCCTCCAAGTCCTCCTGAGGCTTCTTGAACAAGGACAGCCCATAGGAGGAGGAGAAGGGGGAGAAGGAAGAGGGACCCGAACTTGGCTCTCCTCTCCAGGGATCACCATGGAACAATCTGGCCTAGGAACTCCTAGGATGATCTGGGATCCTGGTGGAGCACATTTCAGTCTTCCAAGAGTCAAAGGCCGAGGGAAGGACAGGAGAGCCTGGAATCTGTGAGGTTCTCATTCTGATTAATTAAAGGGGGATAATTCTTACACAGGCACACAGTGACTTTTTCTGTGCCAGAGGTGGCTGCATCATAAAATGACTATGTAATGATATGGGTATTAAAATACCAACACTGAACCATCATTTCACAAGGAGGATGTGGTCATTATTTTGCAGATGGGTAAACCGAGACTTCAGATGGTCAGGTGACTAGCAAGAGCCTAGATATACTGACCCCTGACCCTGTGCCCTTTTAATGGCAAAGTTTAGCTTCTGTGTTCTGTGGAGTGGGGTTAGGGAGGGGGATGGGGGAATGGAGAAAGGTATCTGACCTCTTCCTCCTGGCCTCTTCACCTTTTGTTGGTCTTGCTTTTTGGAGGATCAGTTCACAGCTCTTGGCTCTGCAGGAGCAGGCTCTTGGGGAGGATCTGGAAGAAGTAGCGTGAAGGGCAGCATCCTCACTCACACTGACACCAGCCGGCATGCTGGCCTGGGACCCCACACATGCACACACATGTAGCCAGGTGGGTGGGACCCTTTTCACTTTTGCATACTCGCAGGACAAGAGGTGAACCAGCTGAGCAGGGACCTGCAGGATGCATGCTCACACATTCCCACGGGCACCAGCACAAAAGCCGGGCACCACTCACTCTCACGGGACACACGCAGGTGTGCTAGGGCACCACCCCATGATGGGTGGGGGGAAAAGTGGTATTATCTGGAGATATATCCAGTTTCTAGAATCAGGGAGGGAGACAGGCTTGGATTCCAAAGCCAGTGTCGGCCTCCTCCAAATTGTGTCTGATTTTGTGCAAATGGCTTCCCTGAGGCCCCTAGTCTCATCTATGAGATGGGAAATTTACAAATCATGGGAGCATTAGAGGTGAGGAGGAGTACGAAATGGCTGGCAGGCTGCCTGGCAGCTACAGGTGCTCAGGGGCTGGAGCTCTCGTCCCACCTTCCTGGTGCCACCCTCATCATAGGCCCTGTGCTTGCCTCAGTTTTTCTACTGGTGAAATACATTTGCCTGCTCTCCTTGCCTGTTACCAGGACCAGATGGGTATGTCAAGAGGAAGCAGGTTCAGAAGTGAACGTATTTGCCATGGCGGGGTTCTGGCTGGCCTGTGTGGGGATCTTTAGGCAGCTGAACATGTCCAAGACTCATCAATCATGTTGCAGGGGTGGGCAGCTCTGCAGCTGGACCAGATTTTAGTAAAGTTAAGTGAGTAGCATCTGCTCTTCTTTATAGCTGTTGGGAGCCCCACATCCCTTTTTGTCCCCCACCTGCTTCTTTTTTTTTTCAGTTTTTCGGTGGACACAACATCTTTATTTTATGTGGTGCTGAGGATCGAACCCAGGGCCCCGAGTATGCCAGGCAAGTGCGTTACCGCTTGAGCCACATCCCCAGGCCCCCCCTCACCTGCTTCTTTAAACAGGCTTCTTAGCGCTCCCTCAATTCCCACTCCCTACAGAGCCTGTCAAAGGCTCCTGTCCAGTGGGGTAGAAGCAGACTCCTCAAAGGATGCTCTGGGCATTTATACCACTGGGATGTCTGTTCATAATGCAGATTCCAAGCTGGGTGTGGTGGTGTTCACTTGTAATCCCAGCGGCTCGGGAGGCTGAGGCAGGACGATAAGTTCAAAGCCAGTCTCAGCAACAGCAAGGTGCTAAGCAACTCAGTGAGACCCTGCCTCTAAATAAAATACAAAATAGGGCTGGGTATGTGGCTCAGTGGTTGAGTGTCCCTGAGTTCAATCCCTAATACCCAACCGCAATAGTACAGATTCCCGGTTCCCACCCTATACCCACAGATCCAGAGTGTGTGCATGCAGACTCCAGATGTGTCTTAACAAGCACCTGCTGGATTTTTGTTTGTTTGTTTGTTAATGCACAACCAAGGCTGAGAATTGCTGGGTTAGAAGGTGCTAATGGTTTGACACAGTGATTCTCAACCTGTTTGGCTGCACCCATCCGCAGCATCTCTCCATACTTAGCAATTCCTGTCTAGGGAGGTGAGCATCTGATGGGTGTTGGAATTTCTGAAGGGGTTTGGCAAAGCCACACTGGGGAGTCTGTGGATATCATGAACTCTTTCTTGTTCCACATCACTTAATGCCTTTCCTTCCAGTAGGTGCCATGCATTTTTGAGGGAAAGATCTCTATGTAGCTCTTGGCTGGATGTCCTTGGTTGGCACCTCTGGATGGTGTCCATGGACCTGGCCCTGACCTAGCATGTTACCCATCATTGATTACTGGAGGCGCTCTGGCAAGCTGTGCTAGTAGAAACTTCTTTGTATTGATATTAATAGAAAATTTCAACCCAAAGGAGAGGCAATGGAAGAATTCCAAACACTGTTGCTGGTTGGCAGAGAGGAGCCTTCCAGGGGTCCTTGTCCATTCATTTATTCATGAATCCACATTTCAACAAATGTTTACTGAGTGCCTCCTCTGCAACAGGCCCCTGCTGCACGCTGCAGGGGGCCCTGGTGATGAGAAGCCCCAGTTTTCTTTCGATTCTGGATGATGGAGGGTAAGTCAGGATGGGATGTCGGAGTCATCTATTCTGGGGCCCCCACCTCCTTTGCACACTGGGGCCTCAGCATGGGGAGCATCGAAGAGCATCAACGCAAATGAGTCCACTTACGTGTTTGCAATATAGCTGTAGCTGCTGTGAGGCAAACTTGATATATTAAGTGATATTAAAAGTGCAGCTATTTATGATAATTTATTATGCACATTCTCATAAACACATTACACTCGTCACAGTACATTTACAAGCACTAGGCCTGGCAGTGGGGACAAGTTAACACTTACCTAATGGTGTTTTGCAGATGTCAAACGCTTGGGAGCC